TGGCCATACGTTTTGTGGGTAAATTGGTGTCCCTTTCACTCCACTGGGGTTCCTGCTTGAGTACAGGATGTAGCCTATTCAGGTTCCATATCCCCACTGCTGTGAGTCTCAGTTAAGGTCACCGCCATTGATTCCTGGGAGGTGACCTTAATCCCATGTCTCTGGCACATTCTATTGATTGCCTCCCTGCCCCCTACTCCACCAGCTGCAGATTCCCTTTCATTCTTCTGACCCTCTGGCCATCTCTCTGTCCCTTCCCACACCTGATCCTGAACTTCCCCATTCCACACCCTATATGCTCCCCCATCTAGTTTCCTCCCTTTATCTGTCTCCTATGACTATTTTATTCTCGCTTCTAAAGGAGATCAAGCATCCTCATTTAAGCATTTCTTCTTGTTTATCTTCTTTGGGTCTGTGGAGTGTGGCGTGGATATCATGTACTTTATGGCTAATATCCACTTATTATTTTCCTGATTGATATTTTTATTAGATATTTTATTTATTTATATTTCAGGTGTCTTCCCCTTTCCTTAGTCCCTGCATCCAAGAAACCCTCTATACCATCCCCCTCCTCCTTTTTGCTTTTATACCATTTTAATTACATGCAAGTATTAAGGTCAGTTCTAGGTTGAGGAGCTAGCAATACAATAAACACAAAAAGTCAAAGAACAAGCAATGGAATAAACACAAATAGTCAAAGAACAAACAAGGCAATAAACAAAGTCCTGTGATCACTCCCATGATCACTGTTTCTAAGGGCTTATTATCCTGATAAGCCCTATCATTTTCATGCATGAAGCCTACTTCTTCGTTCTAGCCTAAGATTTAGATTTCTGCCTGAAATTATTTCTTTGTTCTAGCTTAAGATTTAGATTCCTGCCTGTAATTACTTCTTTGTTCTAGCCTAATGTCAGATTCCTGCCTTCAAGCCCACTTCCTTGTCCTCGGCCAATGTCAGATTTCTTCCAAGCATCCCATTTCTTTGTCCTTGGCCCATGTCAGATTCCTGCCAAGCAGCCCCAAAAGCTCTCCATATTTTCCCCTTTTTTATTTTATAAACAAGACTGAGCCTGTCTTAGGTTGTTCTGACAAGAATGCCTTCCTTACTCATCATGGAATTATCAAATCAATGCATTTCTGTCTTAGGTTGGTAAGACTCTCTGCAGAATTTTACCCATCCTTGGCTTGCCAGCCTGATAAATTAATAACTCTGTCTGAGGGTTCATTTTCAGTTTCAAGTCATGTACTTTGGCTGCCAACATGTTGATATTTTTAAAGACAAGCTTTAACATGATGGACAGGAATAAAAGCATTCTCAGGACAAAAAGGGCTGTAAGTACATACCTTGCATGTCCTTTTGGGTCTGGGTTATCCCATTCAGGATGATATTCTCAAGTTTCTTTCATTTGCCTTCAAAATTCATGATGTCTTTGTTTTTAATAGCTGGATGATATTCCATTGTATATATGTACCACATTTTCTTTATTCATTCTTTAGTTGAGAACATCTAGGTTGTTTCCAGTTTCTAGCTATGACAGATAGAGCTGTTTTGAACATAGATGAGCAAATGTACCTGTGGTATACTGGGGCATATTGTATAATTATTATCAGATTTAACTCTGACAAAGTATATGAATGGTATAGTTTTGCGGAAAGATTTTAATTTAGAGAACAGGGTTCAAACACCAGGGTTGTCATACAAGAGCTGGATCTGATTGTTGATAGATTATGTAGCTTGTGTTCTCATATAAATGATGTTAGTATGAACTGTTTTTATATATTCTTGTTTAATAAATTAAAACATAAAATAAAATATTTTATTAAATTTCTTAAAGCTTTGATATTTTCCATCTACAGAAAATATTTAATGCTTCTTCTACTATAAAACATTATATTCCTTGTTAAAAATCTGTCTAATTTAGATCACATAGTATAATAAAATCTTAAAATATTGGCTATTTGTCATTACTCCATTAAAATTTATATGCACAAAATATACTCACAATTAAATACTGTTTTATATATTATTTTTAGGTTTCTTAGTAGTTAAGATGGAAATATTTTTAAATAGGCAATTTCCATTTTTTAAATTTTTTTCTCTATTTGGTGGCAGGTACCAGAGATAACAGGATCTCACTGTGTAGGGTAGCCCATGATTGCCTTGATCTCATGGTTTTCCTCCAAGTGCTTGGATACCATAGTTACAGATATGCACAGTACAGACAGTCTAAATAGACAACATGACAAAGAGTGAAGATGAAAATAGATATGGAAGAGTAGATTTTTAAATGATGTTTTCATAAAACCACATAGTGTTACTGTTGTTTTACGCATAGAAACTATTTGTAGTGCCTTATGATGCCATAAACACATGGCAAGAAAGAAGTTATTTACAATTTATGATGGCCCTGTGGGGATGAAGTGCTTCTGCCTGCTGTGTGTACTTCACAAACAAAAATCAACCTTCTATAAAAATGGTAATGGAGCTGAAAATACAACATCTGCAGTTTTCACTGTGCTGCTGGGTAAAAGTAACACTGAATTGCTTCTCTTCATTTCATCCCCACGTAAAAGAGGTTTACATTGTTTAACAGCAAGTTCCAGTGACTCTAAGGTCTGAACTTGGGACTAGATAAATGGATCAGCAATCAAATCCATGTACGGTTCTTGCAAAAGAACCCAGGCCCATTCCTAATACCCGCTGGTGACTCAAAAATGCCTGGAATTTCAGTTCCAGAAAGATCCAATGCCTCTGACCTCTGAGGGTACTGCATTAATATACATAGAAAACAATAATGATGATACTGATAATGATGATATCTGATCTCTACCACCCCAGGCCCAGGAATACAATATCTGTGACCTTCTTGTAGCATACACATACTAAGTACCTTCTATATATTAGGCATTAAAAATCAAATAGGGAGCAAATCTAGTCATGGCCCCTGCCTTTATATGACTTAGCAGAAGAGAAATTGAGTTCCTATCTGGATGGCCACATAAATAAATATATGAGTTTTAAGTAGTGATAGTCACTTCCATGTAGAGATATGTAAGATACTGAGAACAGATACACAAGGAAGCCCACTGGGTAATTCAGAAGAGCATACCTTAAGGGCACGGGGAGTTGGGGGCAGGATCCAAAGGACAAGCATGGGTAGAGAGAACCTGCTTAAGCCTGAGAACATCATGTTTTGAACAAGCCTGGGTAGGAGAGAGAAGATAATGTTTGACAATTTTAAAAGGAGGCCAGCTTCTCTGGAAGGCAGAGAATGTGAAACAGGCATGAGAAGCTCACTCTGGCAGTTCTGAGACTACCATAAAAGCTTAACAGTCAGAGGAAAACTTATTATTTGGAGTAGATTTAAATTCTTTTCCGGGGGAGACTGCAGAGGGGGAGTGGGCAGGGGTAGAAGGAAGTTTGGGAGGTCCCGGGAGGCATGGAGGGAGGGGAAGTTGTGGTCAGAATGTACTGTATGAGAGAAGAATAAATATAAATTAAAAAATAATGAGAGTAAGAATAAATAAATAAAAGTTATAGCAAGGAAGAGTTTTCTTTTTTAAAGCACAACTAGTAACACATGAATGAAAAGGCATGTAAGAAAAACCTAATCTGGAGCACTCAAGGATGCTCTTCATGAAGTGTCAGGCACTAGGCACTGACATGTATAGAATCTCATTTAGAAACATAAAAGTAGATTCCTGTAATGCAAAGGCATGTCATGGTCTTATATGAAAAAATTAACATCAGAAGCTGTTCTTCTGAGATCAGTGTATTAATGCAGTGTATCTGTATAAGAATCCCGATGCAGTTCTCTTTAAAAGAAGAAAAATGTTTTGTAAAAATCAGTATCAAATAATGAATGCTAAAGACAAGGGCATTTCTGGGAAAATGATATTAGTGAATGACTATATGGTTCTGGTTTACCAAATACTGTTTCTGTTAAGCAACAGTAGCCCAAGCAAGAAGGAATAACAACAATGAAAGACTTAATGAAAGACAAACCAGCAGGAAAATGACAATTTAGAGTGTGCGTTGGAACTTCATGAGTCTTCAATAGCCAAAGATGCATTGGGAACACCTTTAGTTTTCAGTACTTCAGATGCCTGGCTTGGGTGGGACATTGTGTTTTGTGTTTTGAAAACTTGTCAACACATCTTTCAATGCAGTTACCTCTGTGATATATTTCAAGCATATTTGTCATTAATTATATTGCCTTAGAAGTATTATCATAAGAAAAGAGGGTACACTGTCAGGTGTCGTTTAATGTTAGGACAATGGTAACATTAAGTTTATGGTAACTGAGAATGACTTGTGAAGTTAACTTACCAAATCTAACTTTCACTACTGGAGATGCACCAGGAAAGATTTTCAAAGGTCTCAGAGATTGACACTGCCTGCTATAGTTACAAAGTATGTGTTTTTCAAGAGATGCTCTTTATATATTTAAGTTGCTGTGAGTAATATTCGTCAAATGCTTGAAGAACCATAAACTCTGGGACAGATGAATAACAGTGTACCATAAAGTTTCCAAACCTTAGCTGCATAAAAGTAGTGTTACTATATTAGGAAAATATTTAAAACTAGTCCTTTGATCTCAAAGATGCAGTGTCAAGTTCATAATGGATGAATTAGATACTCTATTTCCAGCGGTATGTCTCCAGACTCTTTAAAAGCTTTAACCTATTCATTACCAACTTTATCATCACGTAATTAATTCAGAGATTCCCCCAACGAGCAAAGGAAATGATCTTATAAAATTTTCTTCCACTTGTGTAAGTGAAACGTTAAATTTGATAATTGTAACAACTGAGTTTTAACTGCAGGGAATGCATGATTTATAATATGTGTAAAGTGGCTCTTCACATGAAGCCTAAATCTGGAAGTGCATAAATCAAAAAACGTGTAATACTTTGGTTCCTGAAATATGCTTGAAATAATGCCTTTGGTATTAAAGGCTGCACCATTCTAATGGGTCTCTCTCTTTTTTTTTATGCAGGGAGGATGTGAGAACAGCAAACGTTATTGCTGCAGAGGCTGTCACCTGCCTTGTGATTGACAGAGAGTAAGTACATTGCTTTTTCTATGCATAACACACACTCATATTAGCAATATATGTGGTTCTGCAATTAGACAGCATTTTGAAGAGTTATTAATACTTGCTTAAAATCTTTTTCTTTTAGGATGAGTTCTATATTTTATTCTCAAATTATCCTTGAAGTGGCTAGTTCTGTCAATCTAGCTTTGTAATCTTTAACAAGGCACTTATACACTATGAATTACACCACCGTAGGTTCATTGCAAAAGCAAAGATAAAAGAATATCATGGGGATATTTTCAGGATTAATAAGAACATGCAATTAATGCATCTGCAAAGATACAACATCAAATTCACAACAGATAAATTGGAGACTCAATTTCCAGGGGTTTGTCTTTAGAGTCTTTCAGGAGGTGCTTAACCAGTGCTGCCATTTGGTGTTTTATTTGGAACCTTCATCACTGCTGTTTTCAATATGTTTAGATTTCCTTTCTGTTTCTCTGTCCTGAGACTTCTACACCAGAGCCTTATGGAAGATTCTCTTGTAAAAAACATCAGCTCTAGATGTGGACAAGTGCCTACTTAGAGAAATGAAAGGCTCTTTTGAAACATCTGTCACTGTCCTGTTTCTTCTCTTCATCATGCTTTATAGTTCTTGCTGAAATGATAGGGAACTGTAAATAGCAAGATATTGCCACCAGAAGACTATGGCTCAGATGCATGCAAACCACATGGAATAAAAAAAAATAATAATAAGGTATTTCTTCAATGTAGTGTATGTGGGTAAGTTCAGAAAGGCCCAGAGAGAACTGATAGAAAACTAGTGGACTCCTCCCAACTGCATGAGACTTTGTGCTGCAGTGAACTAAAGCTGAAGAAGGACAAGGTTAAAAAGACAGCATTGGATGAGCCCAGGGGACTCTCGGGGGAAAGGGTCCCAATTTGATTCATAACTCCTAATCTTGACGTCCCTTCATGTTGGGTCACTATAAGTTAAACCATGGCACAGTTGCTACCTGATAGTTGCACTCACAGATAGCTCTGAAATGGGAAAGTTCTTTTCTAGGTCCCAGAATGAACAATGATCTGTCCTTGCTGTTATAACTGAATGTATGTTCTACTGGGGTTCTACCATGTACAAGGCATGGTGCTAGGTGAAGAGTCAAATGTGGGAAAGTATCTGAAAGGGTAGGAAGGACAGAATATTGAGTCATCAGAATGAGCAGTTCATGAGGAAACCATGAGCCAGTTTCAACTAACAAGGAGATAACTGTGTGAAGGTTGTTGGAAGACATTTTATGAGACCTATATGTGCCGATATAATGAGTCTGGGTTGCTATAAATACTAAATTTTGCTATAAAAGCTACCCAGCAATACTGAATGTAAAAATGGTATTCCTTTAACAAATGATACCAAATGGTAGACTTTTTAGAAAGTACTATATAAAGTAAGATATGAAGGGAGGGTTTGAAGACAGAATATGTAGTTGGGAGTCTAATTCCAGCTTATGATCAGAGGACTATTTGTAGGAGGAATATATATTCATTATTATGAATAGGTTTTTAAAAGCTAAAAACAAAGAGCTGAAAATCTGACTAAGTTAAAGACCATGAAATAAATTACAGATGTTATTAGAACAGAGGAAATGAGATATGTGAGAGAGACCAGTTTGGGAGGCACGATGATATTCCACTGAGAATGACCTCCAATGCCATGCAATCTTGGATGCGTAGGACACATGCTCTGATGAAGTCACAGATGTGGGCAGGGGTACCCTGCCACCACTGCCATAAAACTAATGTTAACATTGCCTACATAGAATTAACAGCTGAAGTCATCAGGTGGGGCGGAATTCCATGGTATAGATGATATAGATGAACGGAGATATAGATGAAAAGATCAGAATCTGGTGAAACTAAGTTTGTTCAAGGGAAGGAAAACAGGTGAAAGAGAAGCCAAGAGCACAGGAGACAGGGCAGTACAGAAAGAGAACATCTCTAGAGAAGAGAGAAATTAAATCCCAAGTTAGCAACATAGGCTTAGTGAAACATCAATTCACAACCAAGAGTTTTCTAGGAAAGCTGGGCAAGACAGGGTTATACCATATGGAGAGAACAGGCTGACTGCTCAGATTCCAAGATCATAAACTACATAAACATGACAGGAAGTTTAAGAATTATCGCTCAGTGTGGTAGGTGCACATCTATGGGTAAATGAGTAAAGAATATATAGTATACATATACAGTAAATATTACCCACTTAAGAGTGAAGTCCCGCCATTTGTAGCAACATGGGTGAATCTGGAAGACTGATAAATAAAATTGTCCATGCAAAGAAAGATAACACCACCTGAGCTCAATTATGGAACTCAGAAGAGAAGCATAAAATGATGGCTATTAGAAGAAGCCAGTGGATAAATGGGCCTTAGTTAACATGAGCAGCACTTTAGAGTAACTGTTAGAAATAATAGTACTTGGTTGTTGTTGTTCTTATTGCTTTGATTTTGAGACATGTCTCTCTGTGAAGGTCTGGCTGACTAGAACCAACTATATGTACCAGGCTGGTCTTAAAATCACAGAGATCTGCTTGCCTCTGCCTTCTGAATTCTTAGATTAAAGGTGAGCACCACCACACCCAACTGTTGTTTTATGTATTTAGAGAAAACAACAAGACAGAAGGCTGAGGAAGACAGATTATGAGTTTGAGTCCAGCATACTACAGAGAGATTCAAAACAACCTTGGGCTAAATATACAGAACCTGTGTCCCCAAAAATAAATAAACTAACAATGAAAATAAACTTGAGGTGTATTATAAAAATGAGAGGTGAAAGGGCGTTTACAATTACTGTTTTGATTTAGTTATACTGCGTTGTACATACATTTTAAAAGATCTCCTTGTACCTAGTAAATATATATTATAATTTATTAATAAAATGTGTATTAAAAATACATGTAGAACCTGGCATGGTGATCCATGCCTATAATACCACTCAGGAGGCTGAAGCCGAAGGATGATCATGGACTCTAGGCCTGCCTGGGCTGTGTAATGAATTCCAAATCATTCTGGTCAACACCAAAGCTATGTCTCATAAAAAAAAAGAAGGAAATTCCAATATAAAATATAGTTGCTTAAATAGAGAAGGAAAAAGAGAGAAGAGAGGAAAGAAGGGGGTCCCAGTTTAAAATATAAACACAAAAAAGGCAAGTTGAAGCTTTGAACCCAGAAAGTTTATGAGTCTACTTTTAGGGAAGATGTTGAGTCTCCAAGAAAACATTAAATCCATAGAAGAAAGAAAGAGTAAGAGAAAAAAAAGGAAAAGAAGGAAGGGAGGGAGGGAGAGAGGGAGGGAGGGAGGGAGGGAAGGAGGGAGGGAGGGATGGAGGGAGGGAGGGAGGGAGGAAGAAGGATGAATGAAACCAACTAACTGCAGTGAAGTGATTCTGTCAAAACTGCTGCTGGTACCTAATTTATGTCCAATTAGAGGAGCACTAGGGCGTCATCCTGTGCAAACAGATGGCAGACATTAGAACTGTCAGCAAAAGGAGCAACCTTCACTAATTTACAAGCTATGGTACCATGTTACATAAGCTGCAGTTATGCTTTCCTAGAGGGAAACAAAAGAACAACATTGTAACCAATCACGAATGTCAGACTTCTGTTTAAAATAAATGCTCATTGACAAATCAGAAAATAATGACCAGGTGCCCACCTGTGTTCTCCAACAGCATTTCTGGGCCATTATTTTCCTCATAGCCTATTTGCTATCTTAGGGCCCTCCAGTGTTGGTCCTCTAATGCCTTCTGACTGGCTGTCTTTCCAGCTTTGACATCATGTCTGATGTTCCCATGTCCTCCTCCATTTGCTCTGAAGGCATCAAATCTCTTTACCATTCCTGCCACATACACAACCATTTTTCATCTCTGTGGTCTTAATTCCATTCTTTTATTTTCCAGGCCTTCCCTTTAGCCTTTGCATTCGTTTTGGTACAGCCTAATTTGAGATTAAGATATTTCTGGACTCTAAGAGTAATCTGATTTTGATAATATGTCCCCTGAAGACTAGAAAGCAAGTGGAAATCCAGAAGGCTGTTTTTGGTTGGCAGACACTGTCAGGGAATGAGGATGGTAGAGGAAAGATTTAGAGACCACATAAACCGGCTTGGTTTCTTGATGGACTATGTAGCAGTGGTAATTTATCCACCTGGATCACCTGTGTTTTCTTCTTTGTATAGCCATTCTCTGTCCACATGATAGGACTACTGTATTACTTAACTGAGAGGGTGATAAACTTAAGATATGTCATGGCCTTAGCCTTTCCTACAATCTAAGTGAATTTTGTTTTGGTTCATTTTTCCTGAAAGAACATTGGGGTGATGTGAGGATATTGGCAGGGTGATTACAAGAAAACAAATGTGTCTTGTTAGAACGCTGTCTGCTGCAATCATTTAGCCTCGTCTTTTTTTAAAAATGGATCTGTTACTGACTAGTATGCTTTTCCAAGACACTTTAAATAGGAAAAGATAAAATCCAGAAGTTTAGAAGAAAGACTCTGTTAGTTTAGCTTAATGATGTGAGTTGAATTATAGCCTGTCCTTAACGAGTGTGATCCAATGACAAAATAAGCACATTTCCATATTAAAAAAGACTATTTTATGAGGAGTCAGTGTGGTTTGAAGTCATGGAAAAAAGATGGAGGGACAGCTCTTTGTGATGCTTGCCTGTCGAAGTGACTTAAAGTAGTCATAGGTCATCTACTATTGCTGGCCCCTCAAGCAATGACAGATAGCATCCCTGGCTGGGATGTCCCCAGAGGAGCCCCAGACTCAACTCAGCCACTAGACCAGAGCTCTCTGCTGATCTTTCCTGAATTAGCCATCCCTAGCGATATACTTGCCATTTATGAAATTTCAATGCAATTATATGAATGATTTCTCACCCTACTCTGTTACCTGAAGAGCAGAGTTTCTCTCAGAAACTTCTGAACTCTATTCATATTCCAAAATCATTAATATCTTGATGGGAAATG